AAGTGCAATCTTCACGACCGTACGCCGGAGTGGTCTAGGGTGAGGGACATCGGTGATCAGACACTGTTCGTGTCTAAACATTTGAATGAAAGCTTCAGTGGAACAAGTGTATCCAAGTACAAGTAGAACAAAATCTACATGTCTGAGCCATTGTATGGGGATTCATACGACTTGGTCCATCGACTGGAGATCGTTGATATTGCTACCGACGCATCCGAAGTGAAGCCCATCCAGGAAAAGATGCAGGGTTCCGAGGCTCTAGGTTGGATTCGACCCAATCTCTGGAAGCTCTAGAGTTTGTGAGCCTGCGACGCCGCGCACTCCGTGACTGTGTTAAATTCATAAACTTTGCGTTTTGGATTAAATGTCACTTTAACGTTGGTATTTAATTTAACAGTATTATTATCTTATCGTGCGATCCGTGTTTTTTTAGTATAAATTGTTAGTTATCCCGTAGCAACGCACGAATACGAGTGACCACCTTAAGCTCAAGATCCTCAAATCTCCTCTCTCTCTCTCTCTCTCTCTCTCTTTTTTGTTAACAAAGGGTAACAGGGACAAGTAGATAGGGCAGCAAGGAACCAGGGGCTTGATCTCAGTAGAGAATAGATATAGGGAAGACAATCACTCGGAGTGAATGAAAAGGAAAAAAACAGGCGCTCGTGTCCTGAAAAGAGCAGTGTGTCCAGCTTGATTGGGGAACTCCCACCCAATATGGAACAAGCCCAACATGCTACGGAACGGGCCGAATTTGGGTAGGCCTGGCAAATACTATACATCTCGGCCTCGGATGCTCCCAATTTGTTTCCTGCCGCCGTGATGCCAACGGCCCACGCTCCGTGGGCGCGGGAACGGCAACCGCAAGCAGCAGCCACGTACGGGCCCTTTTTGTTGGTGTATACTATATAAAAAAAAACTACTACAGTACATACGGTCTAGACATGGAGGGACCCAGGCCCTTTTTCTTTGTTTGGAGCATCTGGCCTTATGCAGTGTGTTGCTTAAGTGAAGCTCCAAGTAGAGCGAGAAAGATGGAGAGTCGCTCTTCCTCGTTGCAACCACTACTCCACTAGTGCCCATGCCAAGAAAATGGAGAGCGACGCACTTACAGGAACCCATGCCTATTTACTAAACAAATAAGAAAAATGACTTCCTCTAGTACGCTATTCTTGGCAGCCTGGCACACTATTTGATTCACGTGGGTCCCAATGTTGGCAAAGGGCGCCGGTGCTCTGTGTTTCCCACGCTGTGGCCTTTCAAGATCCGATGCCCATTCTTGCTGTGGGACCCGCTTTTCTTTTCTAGTACTAGCATTCCAATGTTGGCAAAGGGCGCCGGTGCTCTGTGTTTCCCACGCTGTGGCCTTTCAAGATCCGATGCCCATTCTTGCTGTGGGACCCGCTTTTCTTTTCTAGTACTAGCATCACTGCCCATTGTGGACGGCTAAAAGCAGCAGCTTGCCGTGGAAGCTAAGAAGTTTCTAGAACCCGGGGTCCATTTAAACCAGCCGAACGTCCAAAGACACGAAACCCTCCCAGTCCTCCCAGAGGTGACCCACCGAGGCGCAGGCGTGCATGCAAACTGCAGCCCAGCAGCTCCTTTGTCCTTGCCACGCGCCTCGTCATACCCGGTTGACGGTTGTACCCCTGCGTCCGCTTCGCGAGCATGCCTGGCGTGCCTTCGCTCCGAAGGACCAGGGACAAACCGGGAAGATTCTTTGCTTACTTTTTTTTATGCAGATTCTTTGCTTACTGCCTGCCTAGGAGTACGCACTCGAGAAGCAGATCGTCCTCTTCCGATCCGATCCGATTCGATAAAGCATCTCAGTACGCTGCTGATTTGACGTGCCATCGTCGCCTAGTTTGGTCATGTATTCGTCGACTTTTCGTTTGGATTTGACAAGCTAACGGTTGCCAAAAAAGCTCGTAATTTACAATCAAACTATCGCAACATTTAATTTCCATGCGTAATAAAAGATTTGGAAGCCACCGTAGGCTGTAGCAATGTAAACAAGCGGTCTAGTCACCGCGTCGTGGACTTGTTTTTGACAAAGCTAACTGTTGCACAGCTGCCATCGCAAGTCGATGCTGCCATTGCAACCCTTTGACGTGCCACAAGCGGTCTATCACCGCGCCCTCGGTTCCAACTGTAGCACAGCATGCGTGTCGAGCTGCCATTCTTTGACGTGGTGTCAAATGGTTCAACAACGTTTTTGAGTGGAAGTCAAATGGTTCAACATTGTCCATAGTTATATAAAAAATATTAATATCTATAAAATAAATATCATTAAATTAGTTATGACATATTTTTTATAGTAAAATTAGTTAGAGACATAAATGTTAATAGTGTTCACAGTAAACTTGGTCAAACTTAAATAAGTTTGACTTACACGATTCTCATAGTCTGCCACTCGTCGCCCAAGGCAAGGCGAAGAAAATGACCATCACAATTATGATAAGAATCAACACTGAAAAAGCCACGGTCTATGCACAAACCAAACACCAGCCAACTTTATGTGGTATCCGCATGTGTGGCATGGCAAACAATGGCGGGGAACCAAATATCTCAGGCTTTGAGGAATCAATTAATCTTAAATTTGACGATACAGATGTTAATATTATTTTCTTATAAATCTAGTCAAATTTAAGATTTTTTTTACTCCTCATAGCGCAAAATGTGCGCTTATTTTGAGACGGAAGAAATAGTTAACCGAAACTAAAATTACTCGCATAAATTTAGGCTAAGGTTTAGTTAAATAGTATTTGGATCTCATAATTTAAAGTTTCATAAGTACTGTCTATTATTAATCACTTTTTTGCGGGTAGTTAGTATTAATCTCGTTAGATATATTTACTTAACAACGTAATAAAGTGTTCACTTTGTTCCAAACTATAAGTTATTCTAGCTTTTTAGTAGAAAATTATGTTTTTAGACATTGCGTATATCTAGATTATATATATATGTTGTTAAAATGTAGAAAAAACATAAAAACTTATAATATAGAATAAATGGAGTAGTTGTTATCAAGTTTTGTGTCCACTCACCAAACGTGGCACTAAAAATGAAGTGTTTCTCTGTGTGACCCGTGCTACAGCGAGGGGAAGCAGGGACCTCCGTCGTCTAGTATAGTTGTAGTACTTATGGCTTATAATTGAAGAAATTAGAACAATACTCCGCGCGTTACTGTGAGACTTTCTTTGAAATAAATTTATTGTGTATATATATAGCATTACCATATGGTACCATGGCTATTATGTGTGTATATGTGAGCTTGGTTTGCATATTATTTTATTGCATTGAATCTGGTAAAAATCAGTAAGATAATAGAAGAAAGGCTAATAGAATAGGAGATCATATTTTAGAAGGATAGGATGATGAAACAAATAGCATACGTATATGAGATATATGCTGATAGATTAAAAGGTTAAAAGCATTGCACATAATGAAATGATATGAACAATTTTTGTAATTAACAAGTGATGGCATGGATAGCTTGCATGAAAAATCTCCAAGTTAGTGGTGACACTCAATGGGAAATGATGTGGACACCTTGCATGAAGAGGTAAAACATCTAGTGGGATTTAGCTTTATTATTAGAGTATTTAGATTTAGATTTAGATTTAGATTTAGATATAGATGTAGATTGTGCGGTGAAGGCTAAAAGCTACCGGATAGCATCGTCTTCCCCTCGTGCGGATCTTGTTTTTTGTAGAGAAATTTGATGCAAATGCTTACCTAGGCATCCAGGCCAATGTTCTTCATATTGTTTTTGTTTCTGTAGGCGATTAGTGAGGATATTTCGTGTTCCTTGTTTGCCCTTTTGTGTTATCAGCTTGTTAGATTCTGATATTGCGATGGCTGGAAGTTATCCGGACTTTCAATACCGATGGTGCAAGATTGATGGTCTCTTGATCATCTTTGACGACTAGAGGATCCATGCTCTTTCACTGTGTCACACTCGTCTCAATAAGTTCTCATGGTGTTAGATCATGAGGCATTTTCAATGTTTGGTACCCGTCGTTTGTCGATAATTGGAGTATTGAAACTAAGAGGCAATCGTCGAGACCATATATTAGAGGTGACTAATATGCTGGTTAAGCGGCTCTGGATTTATTCTAGTATATCTTCCCTGCTATCTACAAACTTGGATGTAAGCAAATTATGCCATCAGATGTTCAGATTCAGATAATTAATATAGTTATTCCTTCCCCTTGGGAAAAAAACAACCCACCATATATTGGAGGTGATTAATGCCATTGTTAATTACGAGCTGGAGTAAAGTTTAATACTATATCCGTTACCGTAGGTTGGATGTACTTAACAATCGTAATCATCATCTATTGGTTCGAATAAATTCAGTCAGGCAGTACGGACGAAGTAGTTAATGCCACTAGCCCACGACGCTGGTGTACGAACTGCACCTGAACACAGCAAGCTGGCCGCTGGCCGGCATGGCACGAGCACGACGACTCGACTCCAGCCTCGATCCGCCTCATCCGGAGGGCAACTTCCATGTAATTTCCAGGAGGACTCGAATTGAGAATATATCGATTACGTGATCTTTATCTTTACAAAAGAAAAAGTAAAGAATATCGATTACGTGTGCCTGCCTTCCATCGAAAAGAAATTATTTTCCATATTCCTAGTACTAGTACTACACGTATGCATATCCACAGGAACTTGACTTGTGTTGACCTGCGTTCTCAAACTCCCGGTTCTGCCCTCGCAGCTTCCGCCATCCACGTTCCGCCTTCCGCAAAACCGCCCGCGGACCACGACGGGGCAAAACCGGCATTTTACGGCCCCACTTCTCCCTGAATTTCCACGGCGCGCCCATGCCCAGTATATAAACAGTATAAACTACCCCCTCAAACCTCGCCCTTTGAACATCATCATCTCACCTGCGCTTTAGCGAAAAACACTCAGTGGAAGGGAACGCGTTCGCTCCGGAACTGAAACCCTCGGCGCTTGATCGATCCATCATTCCATCCACGCTTGCGATGGAGTACGAGCGCGGAGGCAGAGGCGGAGGCGGGCGGGGCCGCGGAGGTGGCGGCGGGTACGGGCTGCAGCACGGAGGCGGCGGCGACGGCCGCAGCGGTTACAGGCCCCGCGGAGGCGAGTACGGCGGTGGCGGAGGGGGTTACGGGCACGACGGAGGAGGCTACCGCGGGGGCCGTGGAGGCGGCGGTTACCACCAAGGGCCTCGCGGAGGCGGAGGCGGAGGCGGCCGCGGAGGGCGCGGCGGCCAGGCGTACGGGCCCGGCGGCGGCCGTGGCGGCAACGCGTGGGCGCCGGCGCCGGGTGCGGGGAGAGGTCGTGGAGTTGGCGGCGGCGCGGCCGAGTACGCCCCCGTCAGGGGGCCCGCGCCCGCGCCTGCGCCTGCGGCGAGGGCGGTTGCGCTTGCGCCCAAAGACAAGGACGCGCCGAGTTCGTCGGGATCCGTTGGTAACTGCTTCTCCCGATTTACTCGCTCGAATTGTGCAGCTTGTGCTACTATAGCGTTTCTTGTTTCTCCACCGTGGTCGATGGTACAGTAATCGTCGCTTATCATTTTTTAGTGTGGTATATATTGTTCTTGCAATTTTCGATGTCGGCCTGCTGATTCGTGCTCATTACATAGATTAGACTACTATGTATAGTTTTCTGTTTCTGATAAATCATTATGTAGATTAGACTACTATGTATAGTTTTCTGTTTCTGATGAATCCATGTCTAGCGTTGTAGATGAGATGAGTGGTCCTGGTTTGTGAACTGAGGTTTGGATTCAGAAGTGGAGGATCTCTCTGCATGTCAATATCCATTCACCGATTTTGATGCGTTAGACCTATAGTGGTAGATTGTTAAGAGGGCGCCCTTTGTGCTATTACTGCTTAATGTACTCTCTTGTAAGTAGTGATACATGTTGTCACTTTGCCTTTGTTTAGAGAGTAATCTGCTAGTTTCCCTTTTGTTTTTTTTGCTTGCCTTTTAAGTGAGTAGTCTTCTTTGGCAGTAGCTCAGCATCCTTCAGGTTCTCATTACTTTATCATTTGTCGAGTGTTCCTAGAAAGCTCTCAGATTTGACAAGTAAAAATTATGTGTCGTTTATTATCTAATACTTACTTAAAAATGCGTTTATCTCTTTCCTGCGCTTTTGGTACTTGGTAGTGTGTTCTTTATATAAATGCACTTGACAGATGTCATGAGAAATCACTTCATGGTTTGGAGAGTGCATCTGCAGGGAGTGAATATACTTTCATGTATTGATGGAACTGAAATTGCGGTGAATGAAGATCTTTACCTGAATCTGAATTCAATTTTACCGAGCCAACATTTGGGAGATTATGTTGGGCCAAAAAGACTTAAGGGGATAATGTAGCTTGGCTAATCTTTTATTTAACATCTTGCTCTTTTACTATTTTCTCTCATGTACAATTGACCATGTCTGTTTCTAATTGCTCTTCCTTTTTCTTGTAGAACGCATCGCATCCAGTGAATTGGCCAGAGTAGAACCACTAGCATCCACACTAGCTGCCACATCTTCTGTTGGCACACGAGTGCCAATGCAGAGACCTGATTCTGGAGGTTCATTATCTCAAGCAAAGGTCAAACTTTTGGTGAATCACTTCATTGTCAACTACCGAGAGGTGACAACTATTTTTCACTACGACATAAACATCAAGCTTGATGAAGCTTCCTCCAAGGCTTCAGGCAAAGAACTCTCCAAGGCAGAATTTCTTTCTGTCAAGGATGAACTCTTCAGGGAAAGCAGTTTACGGCGTCTTTCCTCATGTGTTGCTTATGATGGCGGAAGAAATCTCTACACTTCTGCTGAACTGCCAGCAGGTTTATTTCGTGTGAGAGTTCGATCAAAGACCTACATTGTATCAGTAGATTTGAAGAAGCAGCTGCCATTAAGTCAACTCTCAGAGTTACCTGTGCCTAGAGAGGTCTTGCAGGGTCTTGATGTTGTTGTGCGTGAGGCCTCCAGATGGCGCAAGATTATCCTTGGTAGAGGATTTTACTCACCAAGCAGCAGTGTAGACATTGGGCAGGGTGCTGTAGCTATGAAAGGAACCCAACAGACCCTTAAATACACTCAGCAAGGGCTGATCCTGTGTGTTGACTATTCAGTTATGCCATTTTACAAAGCTGGGCCAGTGATGGATATTGTTCAGAAATTAGTGCCCCACCTTGATTACCAGACAACACTGAACAAGAGGCAAATGGGAAATCTGATTGATGAGCTCAAAGGCCGACGTGTGACTGTGATTCATCGGAGGACTAATCAGAAGTACACAGTGCAAGGCTTGACACCCTTACCTGCCAGCCAGATGACCTTTGTGGATGCTGAATCCGGCCAAACAAAGAGGCTTGTGGATTATTATGCTCAGAAACATGGCAAGGTGATTGAGTATCAGATGCTGCCATGCTTGGATTTGAGCAAGAGCAAGGACAAACCGAATCATGTGCCAATTGAGCTCTGCACTCTTCTTGAAGGACAGAGGTTTCCAAAAGCAAACTTGGATAAGAATTCTGATAGGATACTAAAAGGGAAGGCTCTAATTCCTGCATCTAATCGGAGGAATGAGATTCAAGACTTGGTGAATGCTTCGGATGGACCTTGCAGGTAACTAACTGTTTTTCCATGTGTTCTCTTGTCAACCTGAAAAGTTGAGCTACTGCTATATAGCTATACTTTAACTGTCACTGTGAAATTAGATGCAATGTGATTGCCCGTTCCTCATAACTCAATTTAACTGTATATATACATATACATACTATTAGTTCTCTTATTTATTCCTACCATTTTTTTCTCCTGCAAATGCACAACAACGTAACTTTGAGCCATTCTACATCTCTTTTCTAGGATAGCAAACGAACTGATCATTACCTTTTCTTTTCAACAGAATATGCAATGTTTATTACTAGCTACTGACTATCATTTCATTTACAGCGGAGAAATTGCACAGCAATTTGGGATTTCCTTGGATGTGCGAATGACAGAAGTCACGGGTAGGATACTTCCCCCACCAAACCTCAAACTTGGGGCATCCAATGGCCAGACCTCCAAATTAAGTATCGATCAGAACTGCCAGTGGAACCTTGTGAAGAAGAGACTAGTAGAGGGCCGGGATCTTCAGTGCTGGGGCATCGTTGACTTCAGTGCTGAGCCGTCTCACCCCTGGCAGGAGCCCCTCAATGGATGGATGTTTGTTGAGAAGATTGTGAAGAAGTGCTGTGAGCTTGGTATCCGTATGAACTCTAATCCATGCTTCGTACACACATCAAAGATGGCAGTGCTCTCCGATCCACATCGACTTCAGGAGGAGCTAAACAAAGCAAAACAGGCTGCAGTGAGCAAGAAGCAGAGGTTGCAGCTCCTTTTCTGCCCGATGTCCGAGCAGCATCCAGGGTACAAGACACTGAAGCTGATTTGTGATACACAGCTGGGGATACTGACCCAGTGTTTCCTGAGCGACCGCGCAAACAAGCCAAATGGGCAGGACCAGTACATGACCAACCTTGCTCTCAAGATTAATGGCAAGCTTGGGGGCAGCAACGTTCAGCTGTTTGACTCGCTCCCACGGGTCGGTGGTCGGGCACCTTTCATGTTCATCGGTGCTGACGTTAACCACCCGTCACCCGGGAACGTGGAGAGCCCATCAATCGCTGGCGTGGTTGCGTCTATGAACTCCAGTGCCAACAAGTACGTGTCAAGAATCCGTCCCCAGCCACACCGCTGCGAGGTGATCCAGCAGCTTGGTGAGATCTGCCTGGAGCTCATTGGAGTCTTTGAGAAGCAAAATGGCGTGAAGCCGCAGAAGATCATCTACTTCCGTGACGGCGTGAGCGACGGCCAGTTCGACATGGTCCTGAACGAGGAGCTGGCTGACCTGGAGAAGGCGATCAAGGTGGATGGCTACGCGCCGACCATCACTGTGATCGTTTGCAAGAAGCGGCACCACACGCGGCTGTTCCCCAAGGACCGGGGCCAGCCGCAGACGAAGAACGGGAACGTGCCGCCTGGCACGGTGGTGGACACGGGCGTGGTGGACCCGTTTGCCTACGACTTCTACCTGTGCAGCCACACCGGTATTCTGGGGACGAGCAGGCCGACGCACTACTACAGCCTGGTGGACGAGCACGGCTTCGGGTCTGACGACCTGCAGAAGCTGATCTACAACCTGTGCTTCGTGTTCGCACGGTGCACCAAGCCGGTGTCGCTGGCGACGCCCGTCTACTACGCTGACCTCGTGGCGTACCGTGGCAGGGTCTACTACGAGGCAACCGTGATGGCGTCCCAGCGAGGGATGGGGTCGGCTTCTTCGGCATCCTCGACCTCCTCTGCTGGGACTTTTGACTTCACTAACTTCCCGAGGCTGCACAAGGACGTGGAGGACAACATGTTCTTCATCTGACACCAGTTTTTTCACCGTTGTCGTGGAGCAAGCTCGGGTCGATTTTGCAAACTGTCGGTGTGTTTGTGATATACTGCAGTCAGTGAAGGTTATGCTTAAACTATACGCGTCTCAGTTTGTTTTTATTGTGTGTGTGTGACAGATTGATGATCTGGTGTAAATATGGTTCTAAGTTTTAACAAACTTTAGTATGCTGCAGTCTACAAATTCTTACTGGATATACTGAATAACTGTTGATGAAGGAAAAGAAGCAGGTTTGAGCTCCGAAGATACTTCTGTACTTGTTGCAGTACAACAGATATTGCAGGTTCCCGCTGAATTAGGGGAGCCGCTCACATGTGGTGTAGCTTCTCTGATTGCAGTTTCCCGCTGAATAAGGGGAGCCGCTCACATGTGATGTAGTTTCTCTGGTTCAGGCTGGGCACTGTCTGGGGCAGGGCGTTGTGATTTGGTTGACGGGTTTCAGGGTCTTGTGCCGTTTTTTCGACCCCGGGTGCGCTCGTCTTCCAAAGCTTTCTGGTGTACCATGTTCTTGTGTTTGTCCCAAAGCCAATTATCTATTCGGAAAAGCCCCCTCACGACATCTCCTATGCTCACCACGACCGACGCCTAGAAGACGGCGGTAACATCTCGACTTGAGCATGGCGTGATCTTCAGTTCGTTCTCAAAGATCTGCAGTCAGTTTAAACGTACGCAAGACATGGATAGATTATTTCCTGTCAAGTAGGATTCCGTTCCGTTCCAGTTTCCATTCCGTCCGATTCAAGTGTTACTTTTATGCTTAGAAAAATTAAGCATCTGTTGCGCATGGCACCATACATACACACTAATAGTCTGATACAACGACATCCATCACTAGTTACAATGCCATCCATCTGCCGGGCGAGCAAAGCAAACTACTAACCTAGTACTTACAGATAGCCAATTACAGTATATACAAAGGCCCAGAGGGTCCTTTTGGGATGCAGAACTTAGTAAGTAGAGAAAGGAAACATCCGATGGAATTCCGCCGTATATCTGGATCTCGCTTCTCTTCGGGCGCCAAATGCTTTTTCAACTCAGGTGAACGGCAGCCTCTCACGCGCAGGGAAGGATGGCAGTGCGCCAGGCAGCTCAAAGAAAATCCCACACTGGTATTGACGACTGACCCTCATCGCCATTCTGATGATCAATTTGAGGGGTTGTCTCCACAAATTGCAATGCATGCATATCGCCAGGATATCCCTGAAGCAGTGTACAAATCATATAATTCATACTTCAGTAAATGTGGCAGTTAGGGTGCTAGGAGCAGATAACAAAATAGCAGATTTCCAGCACAATGTGCATCTATACTTTGGTCGCATGCCGTTACTCTACAGTGGGAAAGAACTTCAAATGCAAAGGGGAAAAAATGAAATCCAACATAGACTTCTACGAATGCCAGTAATTATACAAACATGGAACTCACTTGGGTTAGTTGACCATTCCCAGTAAATGGCTGCTGTTGCAAGGTAGAAGCTGAGGAAGCCTGCATGCAGCACTAGCCTGAGAATCTCAATGCTTAATCAGCATGATAAGAAATTTACATTACAGACAAGCACAAACCTGATCGAACTGATTCAAATTGTCATGATGGTTCTGTGAGGTACCTAGCCCAAAGTTGTGGCCAAGTGCATAATGTCCCTGCATGATAAAAGCATCAGCTAATGTAACATTTTCCCAGACTAACAAGGGAGGATAGTAATGATTGCCATCCTGCTTAAGAATTCACCTGCATTAATTGATCTGGGATGAACTGGTTTGAATCATTACTTGGCTCTGATTGGAAACTTCCTGGTGCAATGTTCAGCTCTCCCCTTGTTGGTCCACCATCTGTTGCATCAGGTTGCCCTTTGTTGACGACAATACGTGAAAATATTAGTGTTCAGATTTACATGCAGAACATCAACGATAAAATCCTTAAAAGGAATCTATATATACACACCTTTTCTTGCTCTCTTTCGCTCATTGGTTTCCGAATCATTTCTACGGCGAGCGACTTCACACTTCTTTCCAGTAGAACCTATACCTTCAAGGCCAGATGACTTGTCAGACAGTGTAGATAACAAAGTTCCTTCAACTTCTACAAGAAGGTTATCTGACTGGCTTGCCATCAGTGCAAATATCTCTTCATTCTCTGCAGCCTTAGCAGCAATCTTGTAGAATAGACGGCAAAGAGCTGCATAACGTCCTGGAATGGAAGATTTTGTGTCACTATCAAAATTAAACCCATCAGTTTCATCCATGGTCACCAACTTTGCATCTTTCCTCCACCTCTTCAGAAAGTACTGTGGGGGAATCTCTTTAACATTCCTCAGCTCATATACTTTTAATATATGGCAGCATAACAGCCCAGAGTTTTCAAACTTTTTGCATGTACATGCAACTGAAGCATCTGATGAGTCAAATCGCACAAGCTGATCCTTAGTTTTGTTCTTGATGGTAATCATATATTCAGAAAGAGAGCCAAATTCCCCACAACCATAAGCCATGCAGTCCATACTTAGTTCACATTCCTTTCTAAATAATTCAAATATTGTTGGGGTATACAAATTCACAGCCTGCCATAGCAATGGTAGAGGTGTTCTCGGTACCCCTTGATTGGCTTGGTAATCAGCTTGAATCTCTTCTTGCCTCCTCTTCTCTGCTGAACTTTCAAAAAAATTCAAAAAAAGGGACAGATCTGTATCGTAACCCAAGTACTGTTTAAGCTTAGTGCCAACATTTTCTGCTTGTAGCAAGCTTTTAATCTCCCCAGAGAATATTTGTCGATTGTATGGCATGGCCCAGTTTTCCCGATCTTCATAAAGCTTAATTAACCATTCATTTTCTCTAAGGTTGTATTTTTCCATTATCATGTTCCATGTGTCAATGAACTCTTGTTCATCCTCGATATTAAAAACACAGTGTCTAAAATCATATGTGAATTCTTCAGAAGCACTAAATATATGTGCCAAGTACTTAACAGTGCTCTGGTATATTTGCCACACACAGGAACGGTGAATAGTACCAGGCCAAGTAAGACCCAGAGCTTCCTTCAAAGCTGAAGATCCATCCGTCAAAATTGTCTTTGGGTGTTTCCCGCACATGGCATTCTTAAAGGTCTCAAGAAGCCACTTGAAAGACTCAACAGATTCACCGTATAAAAAAGCCGCACCAAATATGATCATTTGCCGATGATGGTTCATACCTAGAAACAATGCTAAAGGCCTGCTGCAATCATTTGCTTTGTGGATCATGTCTAAGCAGACTACATCACAGAAGTAGTGATAGTCCATGATTGACCTTGCATCAGCCCAGAAGACATTAGCCGCTTTGTCATTTTCATCCACCTGAATGGCATAGTAAAACGATGGATTATCACTCTTCATTCTTCGAAAATAATCCATCAGAGTTCTGAGATCCCCTGATTTCATATCTTTTGTAGACCTGGACCGGAGATAATTCTTGTACCCTGGAGGGATGTTACTAGCATTTTGGCTTCCAGGTCGAACTTTGGTCAGCACTCTTTGTGATTTCAACATCTCAATATCAAATGGTGCAGCAAGTTGGTGATTATGATCCTCCACAAATTCTGTTACACGATATTTACCACTAGGTGTCACCTTAATTGCTATCCGTGCAGGGCAACCCACCCTTGTCTCTGAGCGAGGTCTCTTGGTGTCATTCTTTGAGCGAAATCCCTCCCTAGAACAGACATAGACCCTTGACCTCTTGGAACTTTTAGCAGTTTTCTCCCACCATCCTTTTCGAACACAAAATCCCATATTTCCTGCATAACTAACATAATACTCATATGCTTTTTCTTCACTCTCAAAGACCATACCAACTATGGGTACTCCTCCAGCATTTGAGAAGACTTCTGGTGGCAATTCTGGCTCTTCTTCTGCCTTTTCTTCTGTCTTATCTGCAGTCTGGGGAAAAAACAAAAGCTCTTACACAACAGAAGTTTGGATAACTAAGTATATATAAAATCATCTTTCGAACACAATGTTGAAGTATACCATTAACATGATGTCTTCAGCACTAATCTCCACTTCTGATAGTTAACATTAGTCTCCACTTCAGCATAGATGCTCATCTACTACCCAGTTCATTTATGCAGTCAATATAGCTTGGACACTGAAGTAAACGAGCCAAAACATCAACATTTCTAACACTAGAACTGCTTTGTTAACGCAAAATTCTCTCTATTGATGGCATGGCAAAATTCACATAAAACTGGCCTAACTTTTTATATATATATATTTCATGAACTTTAGCCTATTTGTAATGTGCAATACCAAGTGGTTCCATTCTTTAGGAACCGGATATCCCGGACTGTACCTGGGCGTCATCCTTGCCGAGGAACTTCCCTCCAGCACCCCTCCGCCGCCGGACTGCCAGAGCCTGCCTCGATGGGACCTGCAAGCAGCAGCGGCGGCAAAGAAACCTGTCAGCTTTAGCGCGCTCTGCAACCCAATCACCCCACTAAACTAAGCTCTCAACAAACAAATCGCACCTTACTGGCCGCGCGGTTGACGACCTGGCGGCCGCTCCGCTTCTGCATGTAGCGGAGGATGATATCCCGGCGCTCCTCGTGCGTGTAGCGGGAGACGCGGATGCCCAGCTCCCGGAGCAGCCGAGACGGGTGGGACGAGGACGGACCCGCCTTGGACCCGTCAGTTTCATCGTCGGCGGCATCCGTTCCCTTGTCGCCGGCGTTGAGCTGGTTCTTGGGAGCGGAACGGCGCTTCCTGGAACCGGAGAGGTCCAGGTAGGTGCGCACGATGCGGGAGATGCGGGATGTTGGGTGGCGACGCTGGGCTGGTCCTAGTGATGGGGTTGGGACTGGTTCGCCGGCGGCGGCGGGGTCGCCGGAGGTGGATGGGGTGGCCATGGTGGTGGACCAGTGGTGGGATCGGGAAGATGAAGCCTGAGGGATGAGCAGAAGGATGTGTGCATGACATGTGGGCCCATGAAATCAGTCCTTAGGGGTATTACGTAGGACCCACCTATCAGCGAGAGTGTTCGTGTTGAAACTTCAATCTTCTCTATTTTTGCTTTTCATTTTTCTAATGTATTAGGGGCTGTATTGATCATTAGCACTAACTAATAGCTGCTATTTTTTAGATAGATAAGGCCTGTTTGTATCCTTGTATCCATTAACATTAAAATTTAGCTAGCTAATGCTACTATTTTTTAGTAGGAGAATTTTTAGATCCACCTGCTAATAAGTGGTTGGATAATAAGTTAAAGGTATTAGCACCTATTAGCAACTCTAATAGTTATCAACTCTCCATCTAAAAATTAGCATGTCTGTTTAGATCCATTAATAGTAATTTTAGCTGCTAATTTTTAATGCTAATGAATCCAAACATGCCCTAGTATATCGCAATTCAGTGATTCACAGCCTGGAAGAAAAAGCTCAGTACACAACAAAGTTCATAAGTAGTACTACCAGTGTAAGGCATCCCATGGATACGGTGAAAAATCCAGTTCAATAAAATGTCCTGTGATATAACCCAACAAAAAATCACAATCACATAGTTCATCGAATATCTCAGTACAGAATTACAGAACGAAAGTTTCCGTGATCATATCCATTGCGCATACACATGGCAGTTAGAACAAACGCAAAGAAGAGTTTTATACAGCTTTCTACAAAGGGAACTAGGGAAGGCACCTGAAGGCTCAAGAGATTTGCATCCGAATTTACAGCTGGAAGACTTGAATGTCAGGGAAGGAGTGAATATATGCTAAATCAAACGGGCCAAATTTCTGGTAATCGTGAGATTTTTGCTTTTAAGTCACAGCTCCAAATTATTGAGAATGAACACCTCGAATTAAGGTGGCCTATATACAGATCTCTACAATGTGATCTTGAGAACCTATGAAAGGGCATTGTTATTCCAACAAATTCTTCCCTGGAAACAAATGACATGGAGCAGACATGATTAGCCGACCAAAATATTAGATTCCTTAACCGTAAGAAACATAGGAATGGACGAACCTGCTTGATTTAGAGAGAAAAAATACTGCTTCTGACAAATTTTCATGATTGGTTGCGATTAAGCATATTCTGGAAAGAAATGTATAAGTCTTTGTGTTCTGTTCCAAAAATCTCTTCTGCTTTTGACAGGGTGTCCTGCAGATATTAGCTAGTTAAATAAAAATCATCACATTGACATGTTTTCCATGTTTCTGTCGTAACCATGAAAACAATGGTAGATTACGATACCTCTCGTGATTGTTTCTGAGCATTGAACTCCTTGATATTAGCCAAAAATGCTCCAAATTGCTCATAAGAAAGTCTTGTCCTGGGAGTTGTAGGCACAAACGTTAAGAGAGAAACAAACTAACCGTTGCTGCAAAAGGTAACCAGAATAACAACTAACAACTAACCGTGCTTGTCGGAAGAATTCCTTCCCATCTATACGTGGCCGCCCTGGAAACAGAAAAGAGTTAGTGTATGCATCTTTAGTAAGCTCCAATATATGTCACATTTACTGTCTCAAACCTGTGAACGAATGGCGTTGAGGAGGAGAGGTAGGTGCTGAATACTGATGACTTGATGATCCTTGCCATGATGAAAATGTCAATTGGCCCTCAGATCGAATTTTTGTAGGAGAAGTCGGACCAGATAAGAACTTGGGAGAGGGTGGGCCAGTTGAATAAGCTCGGGGAGAACCACTGGAGGACGAAATCCTAGGTGTTGAGCCAGGAGTTAATTTTGGAGGCATATATGATGTGTTTGAGAACTTGTATCCTGTAAAAGTGTAAATTTTTCCACTGTAAGTGTCTGGGCTCAAAAATATGTTAATAGTTTAGCTGTTCACTGTTCAGTAGCGAGAGTGAATTACCTCCACCATGGACGGATTCAGTCATTGTGGATCTGCTGGACGTATCTGAAGAAGTTTTACTGCTTGAAACTTCATCTATAGTCATTTAAAACAAAATGAAAGCATGTATCAGGCATGTGGTTATGCCTATTGTTTAACAGAAAATGGTGTCAAAACTGTAAGGTTGCTGAATGACACCTTTCCAAGACGGGACTCGAGCTGTCAAATTATCTTCTCCGTTGTGATCTTGACTGGTTTCAGACAGTTGCTATGAAAATATGCCAATAAAATCATTTGCTCACACAAAAGTTCCAGCAGAAGAGAAGGCTTGAAAGGTAACAGTAAATTTTGACTAAGAGTGAAAACAGATTTGATCAATACAACTCACCAATAGATTATCTTCACTCAACGATTTCATCAATTGTTTCTTAAATGCTTCCAACTGCACAGAATGAACAATCTCTGGTAATTTGGGTAACTAGCGAAGTGCATTTTTCATGTAGAATAGAAGTACAGTTTTTGAAACTTCATGCTGGTTAGAATTCCTCGCCAGGCTCATACATACGACATCATACAAGGAAATGACAAATAAACAGACAAGTAATGTTCCAGTCAGAAACTTCACAGCCAATTATTATAGTTTCTGCAACACTATGCGTGAAACTGCAAAGTAAAGTAACTGACAGTAAAGCAGTAGCCGAACCTGCCCTTATTTCTATGCTATTTATCTACTGAATCAGTATCCACAAATCTGGCTTGACAATCTGGTATCCATAGCGTTGTGTTCAAAATTATTTATTGCCGGCGGGCTTCTCTAAAATATCATCAATTTAATCCGCCACACAATCTCAATGTCTGCAGTACAATTATCTATTTTCCAACTATACGAAATCCTTAACTAAGACTGAAAGATATAAAAACACCCGCAGTGTACAATTTTGTACCCAGCCGAAGTTGAACCATCTGACTAAAGTAAAGAAAATTGTACCGCGTTCTTGAAATCATCAAGAACAAATCAAATGCTGTATTTCTTCCATCACAGTAAGTCAGTAATCATATAACATAAGACATACTCTCCACTGCGATGACGACTACACTATAAACAAGGCTACACACACGGTATATCCAAATTCATAGCAATCAAATGCATGTTTGTCCTATCTTTACCATTTACCAAGTGTCCAAAATCATGGACTCATGGTCACTGAAAAGCACATCTCTGACATACAGAAGCAGACAACACTAAAAGAAGAGTGTCTGGTCAAAGTCACCAACAATTCCACCAACTGAACACTCTAAACACACCTCTAATCAAAACTTGCAGGCTTCACATAACAATCCATTCCAAAGCCAAAACTTGCAACCAGAATTGAGAGGATTCGCACTACAGATGGGCCTAGAAAGCTAGTACCTTTGCCAAATTCCTGGCCAGCTTTTTGGTCGTCGCGGCGAGCGAGTCCCTTTCCTTCGCCAGCTTCGCCTGCGCACCAAAGGATCAGAGCCAAAGAAGCCCAATTACAGACCACAATTCTACGGGAAGAATTCCGGCAAAGGGAAAGGGAAGGGCGAGGACGGGGGGAGCTTACGTTCTCGTCGAGAGCGGCGGCCAGGCGCGCGTCGGAGTCGGCGAGGCGGGCGCGGAGCTCGGCCTCGGCGCGGTCGCGGTCGGCGAGGTCACGGTGGAGGCGCGCGGCATCGGCCTCGAGGCGGGAGACGCGGGAGGCGATGGCCATGGAGGTGATCTTGCGCGCCACGTCCAGCTGCTCGTACGGGTCGGTGGGGATCACGGCCAGGATCTCGTCGGGAAGGTGGAAGTCCACGCCCGGCGCGGCCGCGGCCGCGGACGCCGACGCCTCGTGCCTCGCCATCGCCGCCGCCGCCGGGGGACGAGGGGCGGGTGCCGGGGTGGGTCACTTGGCGCTGGCGGTGGTCCCCGCCTCCCCGGCGTCGGGGAAGAATAGGAGTGGAAATTAAAGTTAAAAAAAAAATCTTTATGGATACGGACGCGGACATGTGGTTTGTGACGGCCTGATGGGGATGGGTTTGCCTGGCTGTACACTGCTGGGTGTTCCATGTCATTTTCCCACTCATTTTTTCTCCTTTGCTTCCTTTGCATTTTCTTTGTACACCCTTTTGTTCCTACCCTCCGTATATTATTGATGAGTTGGTAGGAACTACACTTATTCCTCCCATGACCAATAATGTCTAGCATCTTTTTTCTTTAAAAAAGATATAAGTGCTGGCAGCAACACTATTATATTGAAAAAAGGAAATACAAGCAAAGCAGTACGGAGTACTACGCAAAGCTGTATTTGTAATAATTTATAAAATACTTACTATAGCTACCAAATCCTCTTCTGCTTTTTGTAGGCAACCCTTGAACTAAAAACCTCATATTTGAGTACAAAGAAAATCTTATTTATTCTCCAACCAACGTACATATCAACATGCTGGTGTGAATATGTGATGCGCTTTGGTGACTAAGTAGTTTCGTATAAACTCGTACTTAGCATTTTCTTCAACCTCCAAATGTCTAGAAAGAAGAAGAAAAAAATAGAAAACACGTGCAAAGGTGAGAAAGATCAAGGACCGAATGGCACTCTTACGAAGTCATCTTCTGCTGGGCTGGCCTTGCAGCTTTCGCTGTGGGGAGTGAATGGCACTCTCAAGGAGTAACGGGCCACGCCCAATTCGCGTCGCGCAGCCGAGGCCGCACAGCAGAGCGCGCAGTGAGGCAGTCGAGTTCGGGGGCATTAGCAGTTTTAGTAGTTGCAGTCCGAGAGAGAAGCATAAAAGGAGGGGCAGGGCAGCCTGAGAAGGCACTCAGCTCTGCGGTGCACAGAGGGCGTGATTGGTTGCAGAGCGAGCCTTGAGCTGTGCAGGACGAAGAAGCCGCCGGGTTGAGCTCGTGCTGCTGGTCGTGTTTGTTTGTTGGCTGTTGGTTTAGTACGAGACGGGGTTGTGTTTGGTTGCATGCATGTATTAGTTTTTGAGTGTCTGACGTATGGGTCCCTGCATCCTGGGTTAATTAAGTCATCCTGCACCATGAGAGAAGGGGAAATTCAGAAGACGAAGCTGTGCGGGATGGAGGAAGAAATCTGCACGGGAGGAAGCAGGAAAAAAGATGCAAGTAGAGCAACCAAACACAGACAAATGCACCAAAGGATACGGGATGAGCCAAATAACAGTCCGGTTCGATCAACCAATCATGCCCAGAGCAAACTATTCTTTCACCTTTTACTAAAGAATACCGTGTATGCGCCGTAAATAGTAGCGTACGCCAATTGTTGGAGCGGATCCCCCTTTCTGGAGGGCCCCACAATTCAAATCAAAGATTTTTAAAAGAATTTAAAATTTAAAATAAAGAATGTTTAAAAAATATTTTAGTTATGCAAGTTGTCTTTCAGAAGTAAAGGAATTTTTTTTAAATTGGCATTTTAACTCTGTACGTACAGTAAGAAAGTTTTTGAAAAGTCTTTTTATGGCTGGGTGTCAATTCAAATCGAAGTTGTCTTTCAAAAATTAAAATAAAGAATGTTTAAAAAATATTTTACACTCAAAGTTGTCTTTCAAAAATTAAAATAAAGAATGTTTAAAAAATATATTAGTTTTACAAGTCGTCTTGCAAAAGTACAAGAAAAAATTTAAAAATCTGGCAGTTTAACTCTCTTTACGGTAAGAAGGTTTTTGAAAAATCTTTTTATGAGAGCGGGAGGCTATGTGCAGTTAAGTTTGCAATTCAAAACTTTATATACTGGTTTTTTTGTGTAAAAAAATGCCATATGTCTGATGGCTGGCTTTTGCTCAGGCGCGCCATCAGGCGTGGAGGTGATAAACGCGTGGTTAGATATATGTTCGGGAGGTGTATATATATATTACATATGTTGTTAAACAAATCGATGATGATACATAGGTATTATAGCACATGTCATGTTGGCCTGTATGCTACATTAGGTATAACTGCGTAGCTGCCGATGATTCTATGGGAGTCTTCTTAGTACTTTGGTGCACGATGAGGGTGCTGGTGAATGAGGCCATGCTTTGGCAGCCAGATGATACTGTTCATGTACTATATATAGCATGTCTGATGTGTGTAGGTAGAATGGAAGTGTGCTGTCTTTGTGACAACAGTGTTTCACCTGAATTTTCATACAATCCTATTAAGCAACCTGCAAAATAGAGACCGAGTGGTAAGATAGCTATGTGTTTGTTGTTGTCTAGGGCAGAGGATTTAGTGCAGCCTAAAACAAATGCGATGGAATGTAGCTGTAGTGTACCTGGTGACTGTAAAGCGGAAGTGGCGCCATCATCTGGCAGGGATATGTAACCTGTGGATGAATCAACAACAGCTTGGAAGTGATGAATTAATAATTTGCAAATTCAGGTGTTTCCCATGTTTGAGAAAGCAAAGGAGGAATTTGAAGCCTCATTGTTCATGGAAGTATTCAACATTGCACGTTAGGCCATCTGTAACAGAGGAACGGCTATATCTTTAGACAAATCAATCCGATATACCAAAACCGGCGAACTGACCTTTTCAAGAAAACTTACATGCAGTTGTATACGATAAGAATTGAGTTAGAAATGCATCCTAAACATCTGAGAGATCACATTCTATATTGGCAGAGATTGTGGTACATGTTAGCGCTGCATTAGATATCAACTGCGTAAAAATTCAAAGATTTTAACAGCAATATGGAAAAACGTACTATGAAAACTTGAGGTTGGAGGTACGTACAGCAGCTGCGAAAGTGGCTCATTCTAGTGCACCACATCAGGTAAAAAGCCAGCACCACCCAAGGAGTTTTTTTTTTTTTTTGCTTCATAAACAGTACATGTAAACCCCTTTTTAACCAAACAGCCATGTAGAAATGGAGCGTAAGAAATAGCATGTTAATTCTATGGTGTTCTTTACGCAACCCACTACTGCAGGCAAAAGTTTTTTTATTTGGTTCGTGGTTCATTTCCAAGGAGAAAAATAAACTGAAACTGCACTAATTTAAGAATATTAAGCAAATAAATCACCTTTTGCATTCGTATTGGGAGACCAGGACTGCTTGGGTGACTTGGTACAGCATGTAAGCTGAGGTGGACTCCAAAACTGGGGAAGCATCCAGCTCTGCGATATTGAGGGGAACCATCAATAAAAAGAGGACACCGTGAATCCTCTCAAAAATTAGGTCGTAAATTCATGCAGCAATGCCATCTTTAGTAACCTAAATGGAAAAAGGTGCATATATCTCACAAAGTTTCAGCCCAAAGTGGATCATACAAACTGTTAACAATCGAACGTATCTCTTCCTTTTCTTGGTTGGACCAGATATCAGTCTGACATTAGTGTCTACAATTTTAGGGACTCAATTAATAATATGGAGGTTCAAGGTTTTCTAGTCTGCTAAAACTGCGCATAAATATTAAGATATACTGTAAAGACATGGAAACAAAGAAGCATTTCACAATTGCCCAATCTTCATATGCTCGTGCTAGTTATTCTCTGTCGAGCACCTAACCTCAAGGCAAAATACAAGGCTATAGATAACTAAGGAGTAAGACGCAAAAACCTTAATCAATACTAATGTCTCTGAAACAGGATATTTATAATACAGAGCGTTGTCGTGTATATATTGTTTGAGATATGAAAGATGCACAAGGCATCTTTTTTGTTTTGAAGGGACAGAGGGATCCTGGACAGACAGTATTGGTTGACACTTTTGACACCACCACTAACACCATAGATATAGCAAAGATGCAGCACCTGATTTTGGCGATGGTGCATAATGCATCTATGTAGACATGAAAAACTAATAGTCACTGAAGAAGTATTGTTCGGAAAATCATCTCACCAATAGTGCAGTTTGCCCAGGCCGACAACCTTGATCTGATGAAAAACCTCTAAATTTGCAAATGAGGTCCTTGTTGTCCCAAGCTGAAAGAGAAACAAAGCCATCAAGCCTCCCAAAATAATGCATTGAAATCGGCAAAAAAAAAAAAAAAAAAAAAAACATGTCGAAGACCAGACATGCAAATGGGGAAAATAGAGAAAAGACACTAACCAACCTCTAGATTGAGAAAAGGAGGAAGCAGGAAATCAGAAAGCAAAAGATGTGGAGTTTCTTAAACCCCCTCCAGCATCCAACTATTTGAAGGGAAAGAATAAATGAAATCAGCATGATTGAAATCCCTTCCTTGCACCATGGCCTACATAATAAATAATATAGAAAAAGAATTAAAATGAGGACGGAACCTATAGCACATTGAAAGAGTGAGAAGTAATCAGACCTTTAAGGTACAGTATTGTAGAATGATTCTGGCATAATGTAACTTCTGAGTTGACTCAATTCCTATCGATCAGGCTAGAGAAGAATGTGATGATGCAAACCTGAAACATAACCTGCAACAAACAGAATCACCTTGTAAAACCATTTTGGGTAGTGAACAAATTGCAGTGATGCTAAGCAAGGAGCTCAATGGAGAGCCAAATACTGGCCGCTAAATGTTTACTGTATTTCTCATAGATCATGGTCGATCATGTAGATGGAGTAAAAAACAAAAATGATGGCAGCTTACCTCTGAAACCATGGCAACGTTTAATCACAAAATTGGTAAGCATGCCTATCAGTATAATGCAAAGTAATTTCGACGTTGGAAATCCAGGTTTTCTTTTTTGTAAACCACATATTTATATATTGTATCACCTGAAATACACAATACATAGAAATTAATAAAGGAAACTAAATTTAGGTAAATCAGCGGTACTGAATGAATAGCAAGCAATTGAATTAGTGGCAGTGCATGATGCCTATGAAATAAAGGATAATGTCACATGGCAGCACAACAGAGAAAGCTGGAGTAGTGCTCGAGCAAGGAAAAATAAGAAGGCAATCTTTGTGCAGCCTAATGTTGGGCACCTAGAAAATTAGCAAAACAAAAGCGCTAGCATTCATTACTGAAACACTATACTAATCGCAGCAGAATAGGCTGCACAGTTTGTGTCTGGCCATAGGAAGGATCTAAGCCATATCTTATTTGTCCGAGCATGTAAAGCACCGAATTGGAGGAACAAGGAAATCTAGAATGAGCGTATGTACATGGCAGTTTAAAATATTTCATTTTTATTTAATGGGAATGGCATAATATAGTTTGCTTCATTGGTGGAGCAGTAGGTCTGTATAGAGTATTGACGCAACTATATAAAGTAGAACTATATTGAAAAAGCAGTGGACATATTTGCTGGTTTAACTGAACGTAAAATGGGACTGTGGATGTATAATGAGATGTAAAAAAACAAAGAATTCTATAATCAGTAATATGGAGTTATCAGCAACCATGATATTTCATACTAAATAAATTACAATTATGGTTGACGAGCTGACTCTAATAAATTGTCACAAAATGATGATTTCTCTTAATCATAATTTACACACTCTGTAAATGTACACATTTTTTAGGCATCATCTACAGCTCTGTTGCACACAGTCACAAACTGTAGCAAAATAAGTACTTGAAAAGACTAAATGGATCAAATCGGATGGAGGAGAGATACCGAATAAATGGAGACACACGCAACCTGCATTGATCACACACACTTCACATGGTACATAGTATAAGGAAAATCAACAACAAATGGTGGGTATTCAGCCGAACCTGTGAGCAAATGAGTAGTAGAGTGATGAGGCCACACCAGTTGCTCTATACGATCACACCAAGGATACAAAGAAATTGCAAATCCCTTAACTCTGCGCACTAATGTTGTGGAGCATTCAGCCGACACAAGGTGGAAAATTAAATAAAGCATGGAAGAAACAACAATCTTAGAACCCAGGCGGTAACAAAAACCTACAAAGGTAACCTACCAAAATGGAAAAAATTGCAATCAGGAGGGTCTTTGGAGCAGAAATATTTCGCCAAAAGCGGTTAACCTGAACCTGTAAACATTTTGATAGCATGACTGCACGAGTACCAGCAGAGGGAGTTTAGTGTACCAAAGTACATTACATCATAATCACAGGAAGAAACAACAATCTTAGGCAGTATGAATGGGCAGGAAAGCGTAAATGCATTGAATGGTTGCTGGGAAAAAATGGCCAGCACAACTAAGAACTCAGTTAAGCCAAGAACCCACGCTCTAAATATAATGAGGGAGATGGCATGACTATATATGTCCTACCTACTTGGAGCGAAGAACATACACCACAGTAGCATAAATTATCTGCAAATTAGAAAATGTATTGTCAAATATTGTAGACGTAAGCATACATTCTGTTATCCATAACCGGGCAGAGGTTGGACCAAAGTTCAGCTAGGCGCTAGGCGGAATCTAGGCGCTAACCCATTGCCTAGCGCCTAGTCGGGAGTACTCGGTCCTAGGCGTTTTGGCAATATAGCCATAAATTATATATATATATATATTATGTATATAACTAGTAGTTAGTAAATTAGTCAATAGACAGCTAGCTGTTCATAAAAAAATAGAAAACACTAAGTTGTGACTTATCTGGATGATTTCAGCAGCCTCCCATCCATGAGCACACCATATCAACAGCTGGTAATTACAATACAAGTGGATAGGACAGTAATACAAGTGCACAACACCAGGGGCGGATCTGCAGCCCAGGCCTCTAGGGCCCAGGCCCTAGTCGTTGGGCCATCAACACCACATACCCCATGTAGTTTCAGCCCAATAATGAAGGCCCAGGCAACAGCAAACCTAACCCTCAGCCTCTGCTCCTATCCGCCTCCCTCCGTCCCTCGCACGAGCGCGCGCCCGCAGCCGCACCCGCGCCGCCGCACGGGAGGAGGCGAGGAGCCTGCCAGCCGCCTGTCGGCGCCACCTAGCCGGACAGCGCTGCGCCGCACGCCATTCCGCGGCGCACCAAGCCCTCCCGCCGCGCCGCTGCCCAGGCGCCCATCCCATCCTGGCCCCGGCATCCCTTGCAGCGCAAGGTGTGGCCACACCACCCAGCCAGAGCGGCGCGCCCGGCCGCCCCCGCCTCCAAGCTCCAGCTCCAGCTGGCTCGAGCCCGGCGCCGGCGGCCCCTGCCCTCCAACAGTCCAGCTCCAGAACCCTTTGGCCGCCCTCCGCGCCGCCTAGCGCCGCGATGTGCGACTATGCCCCTAGTCGCGGCGATGGGCTTCGCCCAGAGACTAGGCGCGAGTAGTCGCCGCCTAGCCGAACTTTGGGTTGGACTGATAAAATAACAGGAAAAATACAATATGTGTCCATAACTGTGGCACAGTTTGATGGATAAGTCTCTGTGGTCTTTGTGGGGCTGCAGCAGCATGGTGGTCTTGCTGTCTATAGTGGTCTTGCTGCCCATCAAGGACAGCATCCTTGACTGGCTAAGACAACATCTTAGCATCTAGGACTAGCATCTAGGACAGCATCTAGGACTAGCATCTAGATCAGCATCTAGGACTAGCATCTAGGACAACATCTAGGACAGCATCTAGGACAGCATCTTAGACTAGCATCTTGACATATGCTTGGCTGGCTAGCAGCCTATAAATATGTATCCCCAACCCCTCAGGTTGGCATGGCATTTGTGTGAGAAATAAACCAGAAAATTGCCCCAACTCCTTGTGTCATCCTCTCTCGATGAGAGTAAGAATTATGCTACTACCAAGAGTAAGAATTCAACGACTAACAACTGACAGCATCTTAGCATCTAGGACTAGCATCTAGGACAGCATCTAGGACTAGCATCTAGGACAGCATCTAGAACAGCATCTTAGACTAGCATCTTGGCATATGCTTGGCTGGCTAGCAGCCTATAAATATGTATCCCCAACCCCTCAGGTTGGCATGGCATTTATGTGAGAAATAAACCAGAAAATTGCCCCAACTCCTAGTGTCATCCTCTCTCGATGAGAGTAAGAATTCTGCTACTACCAAGAGTAAGAATTCAGCGATTAACACAATTTATTAGGGGAACAAAATATGAATATCCGTGTAGCAAAGCTATTATATTCTAAAGTTATACTCCAGATTAGGAAAGTCATATTTCAGATAGCAAAGTTCATAGCAAAGTCATATCTCACAATGTCGTGGAATGAACCTACAAATACACAAAGACGCCAGAAGGCATGGGAATGAACTGCAACACTAAATGGATAGGCCTCTAGCTGCAAATCTGAAAAATGAATATAACATGGACCTCTATGTTTGCAGAAACTATATCAATTTCAGTTTCGGATCGCAAGATGGCAACTAAGTTGGGGTAGACAAAAGAGAACCTATAAATGATGGAACATCCCTAAAAAGGAATCCATATATTCTTCCTCCCCTCGGCACCCTACATGCGACAAGATTCTTAATTGTTGAAAAGATGCTTATATCAATTCCTAAGCATTACCTCAAACCACCAATCAAATAGAAAGGCTCATAACTTGATGTCGCATTATTGTGTTAGTATCCATGAGCTGCTCATTCAACCAACCGCTCGTTCAGCAATTTTTTAGATGATTGATGTTGTTCCTCTCCATTTTCTTTCCAATGGATCATTATTAGAAAATAGGCCAAAGGTTACTTACATTTGTAATTCTTTGGTTGACGTTTGCAAGCATCAGAAAATTAAAATGGTTTCGCTGATTGGTAGGTACGGCTAGACTATTGCTCTGTAATGAAGAATCAGACACGGATGAATATGCAAGTTCACCAGGTAAGAAATATGAAGAAGTCAATTTTTGAATGTAGTAAACTAAACACTAAAGATCAAGCATAGGGGAAGTGCCCATATCCATCCGTACCTGGTGACTGGGCTGCTGTGCAATAGGAGAGAGGCGAGGAGGAGGAGATGGGCCGGCGGCGCCACCGCCACCGCCGCGTCACCCCGCGTGGAGGGGTGAGGTACGCCAGTTCTGTCCACCGAGCTGAGCCACCAGCGCCGCCTCCGAAGAGGAAGAGGCCACGCGCAGCCGGGATCCTGAAGCACCTAGGGTTTAGTCGAGCACAGGAACCAACGCGGACAAATGGGAGGAGGCCGCGCGGGGGGCACCTGCGCCGGCGGCCACCGGCGGGGCCCTATGGAGCCACGCACGGGGGCGCACGCGCGGCGATGCGCCGCAGCCTGGGGGCACCGTCACCCCGCCGTGGCGCCGCGCATTGAGCCGGCGGCGCTAGGGCCCGGCCAGCACGCTGGCACGTCGGGAGAAAGAGAGGAAGAGGGAGAGAGAGGAAGGGATTTCGGGGGAGAGGAGGAGGAGGAGGAGGCCGGCCGCATCCGCCGAGCCCGCTGGCGGCAGCCGTCGCCGCCGTGTCAGCGAGGGGATAGACGGAGAGGGAGAGAGCGACGGGTGAGACCGTGAGAGAGAGAGAGAGAGAGAGAGAGAGAGAGAGGAAGCTGTGAGAAGAATCTTAGCGGAAGCTGAGTATATATTTGTTTCTCTGGATTCGGATGAGAAGCCGGAGAAGCTGAGAAAGAGGCAAAAAAAAGTGAGAAGCAGGATGAGGAGCCACTTCGGACGAAATCCGCTTCAACAAATCTGGACCGTCTCATGGAAGATCTAACGGCTGAAAGAATTTGGAGCGACGTGGACCCTGCTTCACCCACCGGAAGCGGGCGGGTTTTGTAGGGTAGAAATTGGTATTTTGTCACACGTTGCGTTGACAAATGTGAAAGAATACATGATTTGAATCTGATGGAAGTATTTTGCATAAAAACCACATGGCTCCTATAAAAATAGGTTCATATAACTGATTACATGAATCTGCACGCTAGGACGCTTGGTTCGACGTGACGAGACTGATGATCCTAAACTGCACTTGACTACTAGAGTGTTAGCTTGGATCTTTGTATACCGTTGACTTTGCCGTCATATCCAATTATCCATCTCCGGCCACGTTTAGTTGGTGCACCAACTCGGCGCCGCCAGATTCTGCGGTCACTGTAGCTACAGTAGCTTGTTCGTTTTTATTTGGTAATAATCAAACTCCATTGCTGTGTAATTAGTTTTTGATTTTTCAACATTTAAAACGTACAATGACGGGGAATCTTAATCTTTTCTCCAAATTCCTGGAATTTGGGAGGCCCTCCATTGCTTCAAAAAACGTACAATTGTTCTCCTTGGTCTTGAGAACCATTGTCAGACAGAGTAAATATATGGACAGTTGACTTAAAATTTGTTTGACTGTGAAAACTCAAACGGAAACTACCTGAGCTAATTTTCGACTTCTGAATCAAGCAAATATCAACCAATATATAGGTGTTCATTCCAGATAATTCAACTAATAAAGATGAATAAGTGGCACCCTGGTCAGTGGAGATCCTGTCAAACTATACACAGACAGCGCTCCTGTTTCTAGTTGACAGTAGAACCTTTGTACATCTCAAATATTCCGAACGAAACACTCAAACAGGCCATTTGATTTCATTCACAACTGACGGTTTACACAAGGGGGGGAAAACAGAGCCACAAGCAAACGGAACCAATGCACAAAATCAGAGGTGATCTCGGTTGTTTTTGCCGTCTCTACTATTATCCCCTCCGGTTACCTCAGATTCATGATCACTACAGGCTTCTGCTCCAACATCAGCCTGCAATGTTGATGCTGTCGAGATGGAACCCTGCAACAAAATGAAGCAGTCAGAAGTCAGGGCATTTCAGCTAACGGAGATAAACGGCAATCAAGAACCCTGCAACAAAATGAAGCAGTACATTTTCTCAAAATAAAATGGGATTCAAGAAGATGAAGAAGAGTAAGCATTTACCGTCGAACCGGAATGAGCAACAATGGCCCCCCTTCGCTTCCTCTCTTCCTTGGATCTCAGTGATTCCACCGGTGTGTACACCTGCCAGCCACCATGACGTCGTCTAATAAATTTACCAAAATTGATAGCAAAATCAGCGGTCCGTCGCAGACACAGAACGCCACGGCGGGCGGACTTACCTCAGGCATCCCGATGAGGCGCATGAGCTCCGAGACGAGCCTTCGCTGATCCTCCGCGCGGCGCTCCCACTCCGCCGCCGCTCGGTCCATCACCTCGGCGCGGCTCTCCATCTCCCGTTCCGTCTGCTCCCGCGCCGCGCGGAGCCGAGCACGCCGCTCCCGAGCCTTCTCGAGCTCCTCCGCCAGCGACACTTCTGCCACCCCCGCCGCAACAGACACGCCGCACTGGGCCGTCACAGCCAACGGGAACAGCGGTGCCGGCGGCGGCAGTGAAGGCAAAGCCGCCGGCCTCGTCCCCGCCTTTGGATGAGCTTTGGGCTTAGGCGCAGCAGCAGCCTTCCCGACCACCACCGTGGACGCCGCCACGTTGGTGTCCCGCGGTTGTAGCGGCCGCCGGACAGCGGCGCTGGCAGCTACGGCCAGGCCACCGCATTTCGCCTCCATCCCCATCAGCCTTAGGCTTCGAATGAATCTCAATTGGGAATGATTTGATTGATTGGTAAGGAAGGAAGGCAGGAGAAGCGGCGATGGGGTGAAATAAGGCTGGGCTTCTAACTTCACTAGTAACTTTGTCGGTGGAATTGAGCGGGGTTTTGGTAAACCGTTTGGCAAAATGGCTTCTGTGCAGCATGTTTTTAGGGGCTGGAGGAGGAGCCGGGAGAAGCCATTTATTTTTTCTCCTTATAAACAAATCAGCACAATGATCGGTGGAATCGATCAGCGTAAACGGCTCCAAATGGTTCTGATAGGCTGGGTCTCACCAAACGGGCCAAATACTAACGGCTAGTAACTGCGGTGCAACCCCTCACATGATCATCGTTCACTGAACGGTGCAAAGTTCTTTCGTGCTAAATAAATCGGTAATGATATGAATGATGAGCCGATGACCAACTTTCGCTTGGATTTGGGGCCTTGTTGCGATGTGTGCTCGTGTTAGTGATGAACCGATGACCAACTTTCGCTTGGAGTGCCTTGTTGACTATTTTTTTAATTTTAACACTTTTTTTAAACTAATTTTAAATCTAACACTGTTTTTTTTTAAAACTAATACTTTTTGCCACGCCTATTATCATGGTGCGGCAAAATGCCTGTGCCGCGCCATGCATAGTGGCGCGGTGGGTGGCTGACGTGGCAACGATCGGAAATGCTGACCGGAAATGGTGACGTGGCAGGGCTTGCCGCGCCACCGATCTTGCGCGGCAGAGCCGAATAAAAGGCCCACCTACGAAAGCGACAAGCCCGCTTTGCCCCGAGCCCTCGCACGCCGCGTTGCCTGGCGCTGCCACCGCGCTTGCTACTGCTGCTGCCTGCCGCCGCCCCTCCTCCTTCCTTCCCTTCCATTCCCCGGCCACCTCCCTCCCTCCTCGGCCTCGTTTAAGGTAATGACGCATTTTTTCGTTTGAATGGTGGATATGAATATTATGAATGAGAGTTATAGGTAGGAAGAAAATTATGGTTGGGAACTATGAGCTACGGTTTGAAGGAAGATATTAGTTTGATTTTATCAATGTTAAGATTAATTATTTAGTTAGAAGTATATTTACCATGTATATTTTTTTTTTGTTATAAGTGTTGGTTATATTATTTTAGTTGCAATGCAAATGGTTATATTTTACAATAATTTGCGTTGTTTTTTATTGATGTTTAATTTGAACCGTTTTATTAGATGGAAGACATGTTTCGGGAGCAGTTGTGGCAAAAACGAGGTCGTCCTAGAGAATTGTACCCCGATAAGTCTAGCAAAGATGCCTCTGTCCCTCCTGACCTCCTTGTCCCTAACTGTGATTGTGGTCGTCCGGTCGACGTGTTTCAATCGAGACATCCGGACACAGTGGCTCGTTGCTTCTACACATGTAGTCGTTTTAATGTAAGCAATTATTTTCGTATGTTTTTTCTTCATTTGTATTACTAAGTTACTAATATTTTGTTGGAATTTTATTGTGTAGGGCCATGAGAGGTGTTTTTTCTTTAAGTAGATCGACGGTACAGACAAGTTTGACCCCAGGTACCTCCTTTTTTACGATTGATGGAGAGGGCGATATCCACGAGAGCATTTCGAGCGGTGGGTTCCACCTCCCCCTAACCCTCCTCCAATAAGGGCTAAGGAGAAGCACTTAGCCGCAGTTAGACGACTCGAGGAACCTCCTCTGTGCGATTGCAAAGATCGAACTGTGATAAACCCTGAGAATACGTTGGAGTTTGTGTGTCCAAACAAGCACAAAGTAAGTGTAAAGTGTATGTGTTGAAATATTGAGCTATATGTGTTCATGTACTAATATCAATTTATTTAGATGTTTTCAATGACGAAGTGTTGTTTTAAATAGTGGTTGTATGGTCCTAATAACCAATGGCCGGAAGAACCTCCAAAGACAAAGCAAACAAAGAAAGAAATGTTAATTTACAAAGCACCTCCAGTCAAGTGCGAATATGGTGTTAAATCCAACTACGGTATAGTCCCTTCGGAGCTTGGAATATGTCATTATTGCAGCCATATGGTTGACTAGGATGAGGTTGGTTATTTTTGTGGTAACCATGAAATCGTATTTTATTTCTTTTGTTAAGATATATAAGATATAATTTTTCGTTTGAACAGAGCACTAGGGAATGCTGGTGGAAATATTATGATGGTCAAGCTAAGTTCTTGATGAACTGAAGGGGAAGCAAGTAATTGCACGGAAGAGAGGATACGGATATGACTACGTCAACCTATTCGTTAAACATCACAAAGATAAGATGCTTGAGTTTGCTAAACAGCGCGGTATTTGTAATCCGATCGATGTTGGACTTGATAAATGGGGATTAGAGAGACGGATGACGTTAGAGGAGGAGAGGGCAAGGAAGAAGGCAAGGGAGGAATCAAAAGTATAGATGCATGTCTTGAACGAGCATGTTGTTGCATTATGTGTCACTGAGTGCTTGAAAGCCTTGTTTCGTTACCTGATTTTAAATGTAATATAATCGCGTTGCTAACTGATTGCATTTTATACATGAAGGGATTGGATGTAGCGAGGAACATGCTGCAGAGGTGGCTCATGCAAGGTACGAGGAAAAAAAGTTAGATGAGCACAGAAAGCGAGGTGGTCGCACCGTGAATCTCCGATTGTGTTGTCTGATGAGGAGGACGAGGATGAGGACGATACTGCCAGACTCAGCGAGCTCATCGCTCTAGCAGAGGCGGGCTTGCAGTGGAGGAGGCTAAGGACGACACTGGCAGACTGAGCGAGCTCATCGCTCTGACTGAGGCGGGCTTACAGGCGGAGGAGGAAGAGAACGTGTTCTTGTCTCAGGCAGAAGATAAAGCGGAGGCCGCTTACTACAGGCGAAAGGCAGATCAGGGCAATGCAGGTGAACCTAGCCACAGCAATAGGGTTGTGGTTAAGGATTGGTACTCGGGGACGACGAGTTGTTAACTCAGTATGTTTCTGACCGAGGGTTTTTGATTGCTTCATCTGTTAGTTCCATGCTTTATTAATGATCAATGTAGCTATATACTAGAAATTTCATTGTGTTGTCTTATTTTTTATTTGAACTATTGATGTATTATACCCATGTATCATGTACTCGGATTACCCATGGTCGATCTTAAGTGATCCCAACCATTTGTATCATGCGTTGAGAATTTCTAAAACGAACATAATCGAGTGAAATTATTTCGAATACGATTCGACATTGGTTCTACCGCGCCATAGCCCACGGCGTGGCAGTGACGCGCCATGCCTTACGGCGCGGCAGCACCTGGACGCGTACAGAAACTGACCAACCTCAATTGCAACTGAACAGGAACTGTTGTCGGTGCTGTAAACAACTACAAGTGCTGTCGCGACCGTGCGCAAGTTGAAATGAATATGAAGCAGATAAATGGGCGACAAGTTGCCACATAACATTTTCATCGGTTCATGAATCTGCAAGTTTCGGACGACAATATTCATTCGACATAAGTATGACATAACGAACTAAGTCCCAGGAATGTAAGGATCCCTTGAACGCCTCTTCGAAACCTCGTCGTCCGGTGGAAGAAGGGGGTCGTCGTACTCCACCTCAAGAAGAGGGTACATCTGGTGCAGCGTGGGAGGGGCCATCCTGTTACAAATTGATATACAAAGAGTTAGAGTATTCAAATTAACATTATGTAACATTGCAAAATTTTAAACTACTTGTTATGCAATACGAACACAATATGAAAGCACCTGCTGTCCTCGTCTTCTATGCCTGCTAGCCTTGTGACCAGATTCTTTACAAACGAAGTAAAGATTCCTGTCACGGGTCTCGTTGAAGTCTCCCCCTTCGTACATGTCTTCGTCGTACCCTCTCATAGCATCCATGTCCTCCTTGAGTCACTTCTTCTTCCTCCTACCCTTCCCTACCTTCATTAGATCCGGATGCGGCACGTAGTCATAACCATTATATGGTGGCCACTATGTCGGGTCAAGGTATGGCTCGAAGCTCATCTCCCAAATACTAACGGTGTTCGAACGAAGATATATGGGTGACATATATGGCAGATCCTCATAGTTGTACCCGCGAACCCTGTAGGCCGTGATCATATGAGAGCAAGGGGCATGCATGATCTGAGGGACGTTGCAACTGCACTCTACCTTTTTAAGATCAACTCGGTAGTTTTGTCCACCATAACGTTCGCCGCCCAAACTTGTGCCACCCTTGCCCCGTACACTGAAGATATGGCGATGGGGTCCATATGGCTCGGCGGTGTGCTGCTTGGCCAATTCCTCGGCCTCCTTCAAATGTTCAGCTCCGGCCTTTCCAAAACACCCTGCTTAGCTATATTCCTCTGCGCAAGTTCTCACCTCTTGACAAAATATTCGCTGCACTTACGAATGGAGAACTCAACAATTCCAGACACAGGCAACGATCGAATTCTAGTGAATACACGGTTGAAGGACTCTGAGGAGTTAGTGGTCATGATACCATACCTGAAACCCCCCTTGTCATATGCTAACGACCACTGAGCCTTCTGTTCCATCTGGGCCTCTAACCAGATCTTTCCCGCTCCATTTACCATCTTATCTAGTTCTCTCTTTGTCTCCTTGAACTGGTGCTCTGTACGTACACAACATAGAACCTTTACCTTGTCACATACCTTCTGCTTCCGCTGACGCCGCCAGAAATTAGCGGCAAAGTATCTCATGCACCATCTATGCACTAGAAGTGGGAACCCATCTATATGCTCAGCTGCAGCATTAAGAAGCCCTGGGTGATGATCCGAGATCAAACATATAGTGCGAGATGGGCCAAGCACTTGTACACGTAGAAGCCGCATGAACCATGACCACGATTCATTGTTCTCTCCCTCTGCCAAAGTAAAAGCCATGGGTACTATCTAGTCGTTAGGATCAACAGCAGCAACCATCATCAAGGTGCCCCTATACTTTCCTGTCAGGAAAGTGCCATCAACAAGTACGACTGGCCGACAAAACTAGAATGCATGTTCT